TGGCCGTGCCTCTACCCTGGTGTCTTGTTCCAGGTATTCGTGTAGGTGTCCTCGTTTTGTCCTGGAGCATCTACGCCTTCCAGAGCTGGCTGTTCAGTAGCCTGGATCTTGAGTGCAACCAACGTATACCAACGTCGTGCATTGGCAGTGCTGGCCTTGCGATGGCACTAACTTCCTCTGCAGTCGATGCGGCCCAGAAGCCGCATGAAGCTTTGCAAGCTCTACGGTTGTGCCATGGTTTGTGCAGTTGCTCTTTGGTCTGATAGAGCTTGACGTCAATGTGGAAACGTTGTGGACAAATTTCAATCCGCTTCGGCCGCTTCGGTGGAGCTGCTCGATCTGTAAGTTCACCTTCATGGCTGATTTATTGACGGGAGTCTGAGTGTATCTTGTGTGGACAAGTTTCAAGCAGCTTCGGTGGGGCTCGAGCGGTTGGTTCATCTTCCTGGCTGACGACGAGGGAGTGCATCTGGCAGTGGCTCTGGGCCGAGCGCGATGCCATCTGCAGAGGAGCCGACCTAGCCTTAGTTGCTCGCCAAAGGCTTCCGGCTTCCGGTTGGCCCAGCCCCACTGCGCATGGAGATGCAACTTGCCCGGTATGTTTCGCAGCGCAGCCGTTGTGTTTCCTTCCTGTGATCCACGACCATGCAGAGGGAGCAGATAGCAAAATCCTTTGCGAAGACTGCCTGCGAAGCCATTTTATTGCTCGCCTGGATGATGGCTTCCCACTCACCTGCCCAGTTGTTGGTTGAGGACTTGACCCGTGTCTTCAAGCCATGCCCGGTCGAGCTTTGGCGCATTCGTGGCGCACAGCTTCGGCACAGTCTCAATTCGGAGACTGACAGCTCTCAGCTTGTGGCGCGATTGTAGCCAAGCTGTTTTTGGGCTGGAAAGCACAGACTGGCAGGAATGCGGCACGCAGACAGGATGATTCTGGCAAGCTGCGCATGCTTGATGGCATTCTTCGTCATGGCAAATACCCGAAGGTGTCTTCCACATGGGCAGAAGGTACACGTGCGAAGGTTGTTGCAGGAACAATTGCAGGCTTTGTGGTGGAAGCTGGGCAACTGTCCGGTACAGCCATACGAACCTTTCCTGTGAGCAGTACCGGCAGAGATTGAATGTGATCACCCGGCCGGACGGAAGTGCGGATCCGTTCGGTGGTGAAGCGAGGAAGTGTCCAAAATGACGTGTGCCAATTTTGAAGAATGGTGGCTGCTCGCACATGACTTGCACCGTTGCCAGCACGAGTTCTGCTGGCAATGCCGTGGCGCATGGTCAGGAAATCACGTTTCTAGTGTCTGTTTATCGACACGTTGGTGGGAAGGGGACGGTAGCGGTTCCATCCTCATCCCAACAGTGAACTCCGGAGAGCTCCGGCATCACATGTGGAGTTGTCTTTTTTGCAGGTTGACACTCCTGGCGATAGAACGAGAAGCGACGAACATTGGCTGACGATGCCAGTCACCGCAGCCCTCATTTGATTTGGTTAGTGTTTTGCTTTGGCCCTGGGGTGCTGTCGCCTTACTTTATCTGGTCTGCCGAGTGCACCCGGCCATGTGGGTCCTAGTCCCCGTGCTGCGGGAGTCAAAAGAAAATAGCCATGGGGGACGGTACCCACAAATCTGAAGCAAGCCTTTTCCCAGGAGCTGTACGAGAGGCATGTCGGCCAGATGACTCAGCAAATCCGGACCATTCAGGCACGATTCATAGGGTTCACCCGCAGATTTCCGGCTTGACGGGTCCTAGTTGGAATCTTCTGCGCTCTTACTCCCTGCATGCGGGCACAGCACAAGATGGCAGTTTCGAGGAAACACGATTCCTCCGGGGCAATGGATTGCGACTTTACGATGTTCTATTCTTGTGAGGACTCGTAGCCGACAAGGTACACCGAAACAGCAATGTGATTTCGGAGGGACGAACAGAGAGAGAGAGAGAGAGAGAGAGAGAGAGAGAGACAGAGAACAAAAGAATTGCCGTGGTGTCAGGAGAGCTTCCGCAAGCAGCTGGAGGTGGCCCAGGCCGAGAATGACGAGCAGCTGCAGGCCACACGAATACTGACTGAAGCGCTTTGCCCCCGCTTCTGGTCTCTTGCTTCCAAAATGCCTGTTGTTTTTACAACATGTACAGCAGTTGCCAACACACGGACTCTCGCTCCCTCTTTGTCTCTCTCCACGTCTTTGATTGTTTCTTGGTATCGTTCTTTCTTTCCCTCTCGCTCTCTCCCTCTCTCTGTCTCTCTCTCCTGCGCGCATGGCTAGTCTTAAAACCCTGTATCTCAGTCTTGAGCTCCCAACGTCGCAGGCTGCCGTGGCCAAGCTGGCAGAAGTTGATCCTTGGCTTGCACTAGGGAGCTGATGTTCTTCGATTCGTCCACAGCTGTGCAACCTGGCCTTTGCAGCTCAAAGCCATAGTATATCTGCTTCAGTGCCTCCCACAAAAGGAGCTTGAGGTTGAGACACCTCCGGCTTCACGCAGGAATTGAAAAGACGGACTCACGCCGTTTCCGTGGGTGCCGGCCCGTGTCTCCAGAAATCGGCCTGTGAATTCCCTTCCTTGGTTGAACCCACCTCGACTCCTAAAACCACAAAATCAGAAGCCCGAAGCCCTAAAGCCCCTAAGTCTCAACAGTGCCTTCAATTCCTCAAACCCAGTTCTTGTTTCCGCCCAGGAGAAGAATACAAAGGCCGAGAGGGAGCAGGTAAGAGCAGAGCACGATCAGGAGCTCGGAAATCGAGGGAAGCAAAAGGGATTTAATTTTTCAAAGGGCTTGTATCACGGCACTACAAGGGTGTCAAAGGGTTTCAGGAAGGGCGCTGTAGAGGATTTCTTGAACTCTTGTGAAGGACTCAGTTTGCTCGAACAGCAGGATATATAGGCATGTAGCAGGTAGATAGTCACAGTCGCCTGTCCTGACTATGGCAACTTACAGTAGGTTCTGAACTTCTTTATGATATGGACCCACGGCGCGAGAGGGTGGCCAATCTACACCAAAACAACATAAAGCAACACAGAGGCACGATGCAGGACGTAAAGAAGCGGTTAAAGGATTACACTTCCACAGTGCTTGAGGCTAGGATTGGATGATGAAGGGTGTAGGGGGACAACGAGGTCTGCTGCAAAAAGGGTCCAATGATTTTGGGGGCTTCCGGGTGGATGTAGGCTTTAGGCTTCGTGTTGAGGCATCTGCAAAAGGACATTGGGGACCTCGAGCCTCCTGGTCCTAACTGCCTCAAAGATGCCCGTACAAAGTCTTATGGAACACGTACTCGTGATTTGGCTAGGCGTGTCATAGAGGTGAGTGTTGAGTGTAGAGCTGCGGAGCATGGTTCCAGCCATGGCGAATGCTCTGCAGGAGAAGGAAGAGCAAGCAGCCAAACTGGCACAGGCGTTTGACAAAGAGTTATAGCTTGACGACCCTTGCACATGGATCGTTTGAGTTGGAGTCTCTAGCCAGGCAGATGAGTTGATCGACAAAGTCGCGGGATTGACCCGTGAGATCGAGGAGCTCCGAAAACAGCTCCTGCAGGCGCAATGACGGTGTTGGCATCTCGACCAACTGTCTCGAAGGCTCCACTTACTTTAAATTTTGCTTAGCTGTATACCAGGCCCGGATGAAGCTCCTTGACAGGCCGCAGCTATCCCTTGCAAGATGCTGTTGCACTTCTGACTCTGTGGAAGCAATTTGCGCATGGCAGACGGCAGGCCAGTCGTCTCGGCCCAACCTCGTCCCGGTGCTCCTCAGCCCAAGGCCGCAAAGCTTTTTGAGGACACGCCATCTTAGCTGCAGATGTCTGTGAGCCGATGTCAGGGGAGGCGCAGATTGGAGACGGATCCGCAGGACTGGCATTTGTAAAAATAATAGAACAGCATCATGACTGGTGCCACAAGCGCCAAAAGTCAAGCCAAAGGGGCCATGTCAAGAGACCAGGCAGCAGCTATGGCCCGGCGCAAGTCGGTGCGGATGTCCTTGTTGCCGCCCAATCTGCTCGATAAGAGCGAGAAGGACCTAGTCGACTACGTTTAAAGCGAGTTAAAGCTGTGTTTGCTTCAGTCGTCAAGCCAAGCTCTTCGGATTCCTTGAAAAAGAGCTGTGAGGAGCTTTCCCGTGAAGTTGCAAGAAGTAGGCGCATGGATCTGTGCCGGCGAACTGTTGACAAGGCTGCTTGGGATTCGTGTCTGCAGGCCACAGACGGATCGCAGGGCTACATTGGCAGTAAATCGAGGTGAGAACATTGCCGACTTGGCAGAAGCTGGGCGAAATTACACACGAGTTGCTAGATCGAGAAAGGACACTAAAGTCACTAGAGTCAAAGTGTTCACTGAACCATGGTCGTTTCCAGTTTTCTTGTCGCTGCCTTAAGTTTCTTGCTCTCTCAGGATTTCGAGGAGCACCTCCGAATGAGCAGCTGCCCAAGACGACTCACAAGACACACATTTTGCATCCGTTGCGACATGGCTCAGATGCTTGAGGCATTGTCACGGCTTCTAAGGAGTTCGATGCAGTGTCCGCCCTGTTCCAGCAACAGCAGCCGGGGCTTCAGTGTTGGCTCGATGCGTGCAGTCAGAAGGTGGGGAATCATCGGAGTCCTCCTCCGGAGAATGATCGCAAATATGAAACAAGCTACTGATGCGGTGATGCGCTGGCTACACGCGGCTACACCGACGCCTCAAGAGACGATGTCGAATGTGTGACATGCTTCACTTGTCAGCATTGGCCATGAGGTTCCCAGCAAAGCGCGGCTATTACGGCCCACGTTGCAAGAGAATGGCCAGCAGCTGGCCTCAGTTGCCGCGGCGCGCTGTAGAACATCGGGGAGGTGGAAGGAATGAGTAGCTCAAACTATCCACACCAATCAAAACAAGATTCTCACGAGCTCTGTGAAGAGTAAGACCCTCAAAACGCATTCGCAGACAGTTTAGGTGTCGCAGAATCAGCGTCGCACACCGCACCCAGGATCCTGAAATGAGAACTTTAGAGTGTCTTTGAGTTGGCTGAGGACTAACACGGCCGATGTTGCGCTGTGGAGGAGAATCGAGCGAGCAGGCCGGCAGTTGAGGTCTAGTCTGCTCCCTTACTTTTGCTTGGTCCCTAGTACTATAGGGCCTTATTGCAATTTCAACAGGGAATTGGTGTATATAAAACTAGAACTGCAATAAGAAGGAGCCCCCCTTATGTTACAGTTTTGAATTTTGAATCATGCCGCAAGAGGCGACACTGGCGTGCCTACTCTGAAGCCTTCCGACGGTGCAGTCACAGCACCTTGGATTTGTTGATGCCACCGTCGCACCTTGTCAGGCAGTCGTCCCGACCTTTGATTGTCCGGTTTGAGTGTCAAGCCAGCAAGACCTTGAAATGCCCAGATGCTTGAAGGTTCCTTGGCCCTGCTACATTGATCATCATCGTCCTGGTTAGCACATGTTAGTACCAACCCAGGCTTTCCAAATCACGAGCCGCACTCAGGTCCTGTGCTTCCGCGAAGCACTCAAGGACGATACTCACGAGATCTTGGCGGTGGGCTGCAAAAACGGTTTCTCGGCCTGATTTGCAGAGTTTGGGGAGCCCTGCTGTCGAAGAGAAATGGGCTCCTGTCTCCTGTCTAGTCAGCAATCATTATGGGGACCCCCACTCGCTTCAACAAGCCTTGAGAACAGGAGGTGTGCTTATGTTTACTTGCGGGCATCGCTGCATGATTCGTGGGTTCAGTGATTCGGAGTTCAGGCCGGAATGGGTTTAAGAAGTTTCGGATCAACAAATCGCTTGTGGTTCAATTTGATTCATTTTGGAAACGAAAAACAAAGTAATAATGCTAACTGTCCTTCAGCTAGGGATGAAGCGCTCTGGAGAGCTCCATGTAGATATTCAAGGGCTCGCGCCTCTAATGTACTGCTTTCAGGAAAGGTTGGAGTTTCTGAGTCCTTCTGCTTTGGAGTTCTAAAGGATCCCGGGCCCCTTTGGAAATGCAGGGTTCCGCCTCAACTTCGGTTCTTATTTGTTATGTTGTGAGCACTCAAGGTTTCAAGATTTAACGCCTTACCGGGGAGCCTGAATGCTCGCCTCTTCCATGAGCATTGGATGTTGGAGCGCTAGGATGGAAGTATAAAAGGTGCCCAAGTATGCGTCTCTTCCATGACTCTCCAACCTTAAACTCTACATGCGCTGGAGCCTGACCACTGAAGCAATATCCGAAAACCGCGAGGTGCACTGTCCATTTACCGCATCCGGCGGACGGCCTTGGCTGCTTGCTCGCAAACCGCAACCCGAACCTCAGATTCAAAGCCCAGTAAACCCCAAACGCTAAATTCAAAGCTCCTCAGGAACCATCGAACCGCAAAACTCCTTTCAGACTCCTTCAGCCCAGCCTGTTTCTTGATTTTGCCACAGTAGGAGATACTATTATCGGGGCCTGGCAGATGACCGACATGATGCCTTAGGGTTCCTTCTTTATAATGGCTATCCTATAATCATTGAAACTGCCCCGAAACCCCTATCCTAATTGTGCACTAATCATTACGGCCCCTATGCTAGATCCTGCTAGTACCCCTTAAAAGGGCTCCCATCAGAACCCTTCAACGCTTCCTCTAAGCGGAACCCTGCTCTCGTCCCCTGCTCTCGTCCTTAAAGCCCCTAAGCCCTAAACCCTGAAAGAAAAAAACCCTATTCCCCAACAAGTCTCATTTCCCTGCCAGGAGCGCGGAGCATCAGACGCCGCGAAGGACGGCGAAGATATAGAGGCCTTCATGCCATTAGGGTTCAGGAAAAAAGGGTTTTTGCGACTTCGTTTGATGCAGGATTATGTGAAATCACGCAGTGCTGTTTCCCAGAGTCTGGGTTCAACAAAAATGGGGTTTAAGCTTTAGGGTTTTAAAATGTTTTCGCAGTTATGGTGTGCCCTGAACTGCCAGAACCGGCTTTTTTTGTAGTTCCTAAGAAATACATTTCAGGTCGAGGTAGGGTTTAGGGAAGTTTAAGCTTAACGCCCCCCC